AAGTTATTTTCATTAATTTTCTGTCAACACTTGGTGTTTATTGAAAATATGAATGCTTATAGCAAAATGCGTCTTTCATCACACATAACTGTTCTCCCATTACAATTCTTCTCATGTCCTCTTCTGAATAAAAATCGCTCTTCTTCCAGCTGATTTTTTAAATGCGTATACTCTAATTGTTCTTTGATTCCATGGGATCTCTTCTCTTCACTGTGCAGCTGGAGTTATCTTTTTGGAAAAAAAATCTTATCTATGTCATCTTCCTGTTTATGGCAATTTAATGATTTCATCTATTGCTTTTAGGATAAAACAAAGCTTCTAACATAATCTACAAAGTGGCCACCTTGTCCCTGCCAATGCTTCCAGCCCATTTTATCCCAGCAGTTCATATCCCTTCCTCTGCTACTTCCACACTGGCTTTTTCTAGCCCCTGCTCTTGCTGTGTCCCTTCAGCAGTTGGTGTCTCTATACTTGAAGTTCCCTCTGACTAGAAAGTTTTTCCCATCCTTACTCACAGAAGTAAACTTATTCATCCTCCTGATCTTTTCTCAGTCATCACTTACAAATGATAGTGTGTAATTTCCTGTTTTTAACTGTTTTCATTTCTTACTTTCCTTAGTTTTTACACCAGATAGTCACAATTTCATATGAAATTGTATGATTATTTATTTCATGTTTACTTCACATAGTCCAGGATAAAATTCCATTAAAGCAAGGCCTTTTCTAAATTTACTCACTGCTTAATCCCAAAATAAGCATGTTATAGGTACTCTAGAAATATTTCTTCATTGAGAACAGAATAAATTTCCTTGAAGTCTCTCAAGGTCTTTGTATATTATTTTCTCCAATATATATTATGTACCATATTCATCTAATAGAGCATAAATGGAGAGATTTTTATAGGGTAAAATCTAATCTTCAATTTTATCTTCTCTTGATTTTACTTACAATCTGAATATAGAAGATTTGATGAATATGAATGGAATTCCATAACAAGAACTTGCTCTCATACAATACATTTTTTTTTTTTTTTTTTGCTTTTTCTCCGGTACCAGGAACTGAACTCACGACCTTGCACTTGCCAGGCAGGCGCTTTGCCGCTGAGCTAAATCCCCAGCCCCTTCTCATACAATACATTGAGAAATACAATTTCTATTTTCTTTAATATCATTTTCTTCCTGTTCATTAGCATTAATAGGGATATTGTATACTAATACCAGAAAACACAAAATAGCAATGACTTTGTGTATGAATCTGTTTTTTATTACTTTATTAGTATGACTGTTAGTAAATATTGTATTTCCTCTAACATAAACGGTATTATCTCTAAAAGAAAGTTATAATGTCATAGGAATTACAACTGAAAATGGATCCTATGCAAGTTCACTTAAATCCACCAATGTTTGATGAAATTATTTTGAAATATGGAATGAGTAATGGCAATGCAAAATTATTTTAATCTTTAGATTATTAACGTAAAATAATGCCACTGTGAGAGACCAACCCTACAAAAAAAGGGACAAGGTTTTGCACATCACCTATTTTGGTCTTGTACCCCAAACTTATCCAGCTATCATGTCATATGCATGTGGCTGAGTCAGAGAAATTCATAAAAAATTATCCAGAACAAGTTCAATGCTAAATAATGATGCCCTAAAACACTTATCAGAATTTTAAGTGAAATAAATGTACAGCTTCAAGTACACATGGATTACTACAGATATAGGAAGGAACTAAATTTAAAAAGGAACAAGTCATTTATCTAAGGCCACAAACCCAACTAATGGCACTACCAGGGCTGAAAGCGAGATATCTTAGTGCACACAAATTTCCATTTCTGGATCACATCAGTCCTGTAAGATTCTCTAGAAGAAAAATAATCTAAACAATAATCTCCACGTTCAGATCATTTGAATAACTGGGGATCCACAAACACTTTTACAGTCACAGGGAACATGAGCCAGATCTTATTAGCTAGCAAATAATGACATGAACCAGTAACCATCACCCTCTGTTCATTAGCATTCTTTAAATTTCTCAAATGAACACATGAAATACAGACAAAACCTGTACACTAAACAGTAATGTCTCTACATCTCTTTCCTGCCAACACAGACTTTTTGGTAATATTTTCCATTTGTAAAATTCTGGCAATTCTTTGCAGAAATGGATATTGACATAGAGATTTATGGCATGATGCTACATGAGTGGTATGTTCATAAAAAACAGTTCTTTAATAAAATAAAATTTAAAAATATTTCTGACTTATAGGAGTTTCTAATTATTATGTCATAACTACTCCCACCCTGTCCAATTTCAAGCTCCAGGTTAGCAACAAAATATCTGACTATTTAACCATTGGTTCTAGTGTGTACTAACTACAAACGGCCTCAGCACACCATGAATACTACCAGGAAACCTGGACAAAAGAAAAGTCAGTTCACTCATAATGAGGCAGAAATGGGGACTTTAAAAGAAGCAGGTGACACTTCAAGATCACAGATTTGCTGTGCTGGTTTTAATACCTAAAATTCTGCCTGAACTGTTCTTGTCAATGAGGTGCAATTTTATGTATTAGAAAAAGGTAGTGATCCTCATCTGACTGTGGAGACAAGGGCTTCTCAGAGGCCGGTGATGTCAATATAGGCAGTGAGCCTGTTGGAAATGTATGCTCCTCGGCTCCACCCTAGAACGACTGCATCTTAATTTTTCTTTCTCGTTTTAAAATTTCTTTTTCCCTCTTTTCTTCTCTTTCTCTGTCTCTCTTTCTCTGACTCTGTCTGCTCTGTCTCTATCTCTGTCTCTGTCTCTGTCTTCGTTTCTATTTCTCTGTGTGTGCCTCTGTTTCTCTGTTTCTCTCTCTGTCTCTCTCTGTTTCTCTTTGTCTATTTTTGTTGTACTAGGAATTAAACCCAAGTCCTTTGCACTAAGCAACATCTTCAGGCTTCACCTCCCCACACTTCTTTTCGGGGAACAGTGTCTTGCTAAATTGCTAAATGATACAGGTTGGGGTCAAACTTGCCATTCTCCCAAATTAACCTCCTAAAGTGCTGAGTTTGCAGGTCTGTGCCACCACACCCTGCATGAATTAGAATCTTTGGGTCTAGAAATCTGCATTTCAACTAAGTCTGTAAGTGTTCTAGCACAAACAGAAAGAATCTTTCATCAGTAAACAAACAATTTTAATGAGTGAGATTGAAGTATGAATGAAGAATAGATTTTTTATATATCAGCATCTATTAATGGAGAGACTTCATCATAGCTTCTATCATAAAGTCTGAAATTTTTTATTTTTATAGAGACTTTACTACTCAAAATATTTCAGATTTTTCTTAAAATAAGAAAGTTAATTTATTTAACTTACAGTTCTCAACTTCAACATTTAAAGACCAAACCTCAGCATCCATTCCTATGCCTTAACATTAGCATTTTTAATATTTCTTTATGAAAATCTTTTTAAAAATAAACATTTCTCTTTCAAACTTCTGCTTTACCTCTTTCACAAGATAAGCTTGGAAAATAGGAAGAAAATGTTCAAATGGGAAAAGGGAACACGGAGTGGGAGGGGAAGGGACAAAGGAAGGGTAAAGAAAAAAGAGACTAGGGGCTGGGGATTTAGCTCAGTGGCACAGCGCCTGCCTGGCAAGTGCCAGGTTGTGAGTTCGATTCCTGGTACCAGAAAAAAATATGAATAAATAAATAAATAAATAAATAAATAAATAAAAGAAAAAAGAGACTAGAAGAAAGAATGGAAACAAAGCTTTTGTAAGGGGCATGGGGAGAAAAGAAGAATCAAGCTATATTATATACAGGTGCAAATTTCCCAATGATGAATGTAAAGATATGTATCAAAATCATACCTATAAAATTAATTTTTAAAATTAAGGTAGTACAATGGGGTGTTATCACATAACCTATCAACTGCATTGTCTACTGATTATATAGTTAGGTATTTGTTTTTTTTGATTTAGCTACTACGTTCTGTTGCTTTGATATGAGCTCCCAAACTTAAAATCCAGAACAAGGACAGATAAATACTGTCTGCTGTGCTTTCCTCTTCCAATATTTTAAGAGTTGAAAAATTTACAAAATAATTATCTTCTCAACCGTCATGTAAAAGCATTGCAAAAAAGAAAAGCAATGACTTAATAATACTTTTCCAAAATTTAAAAATATCTAGCAAAGACACAATGAAATGATGAATATCTGTACTGGTAGTATTATGAAAATAATTAGACAGCAATCTAAAAATACAGGCCTATGATTCATAATCTATTATTCATTTTTAATTTCCTTTGAAAGGTAAACTTCAGAATGTTTAATGTATTTGCACAGAAATGAGATAGCTAATATCTAAAGTGGCGGTAGATAATAAATTAATGAAAATATTTTGGAAGATGATTTAATCATCTCCACACTTCCTAGCAAACATAATACTGCTGTCTCGGCGAGCATAGTTCCTGGCCTTGATGGGCACCGTCTCACTGAACTTCTCAGGCGGTAGTGTTTTCAAGAAAGCTGGAGGATTAACCACATAATTCTCCAGTGTGTTGGTCCTAGCCTGAATTTCCTGACTGCTAGTCCGAACAGCTCCGAAACACAGGAGTAATCATCCTGCAGTCCACCACTTCTGAGTTTCTGGAATTCCCTTCACCAACGCTTGTCAAGAAAAGTGGCTTCCGTGAGACTTGCCACTGACCCAACCAGCCAAGTAGGTTGAGAACATACTTTTGCCACAGTGCTTCACCTCTCTGGTCAACGTAAGTGAATCAGTCAGCACTCCGACACATATCTGCTCAAGATCTTTCACCTCCACAGCATGGAAACAAATCCCACTCCCTGGAACCACCTAAAATTGCATCTCAAATTTCAGTCCTGCTTGTTTAGAAGAGTCCTCCTCACTGAGACACCAGTGGATCGATACATTGGTGCAGCCACAACAGCTGCCCGTCTGGCAGCATGTGGGTTAGAAAAGGCACAGAGAGCAGAAGGGCACTTACGGTTGGCACAGCTTGATTAGGTCCTGGTCAGTCGTGCCTGGAGGAAGGCCTCGAATGTACAAGTTGGTTTTACTCAACTGTTCCCCGCTGCTGTTGCTGCTGCTGTTGTTGCTGCTGCTGTTTGTGCTGGGGCTGGGAGGAGCCATGGGGTGGGGAGCTGGTGCATAGGACTGCTGCAAACAGAAAAAGCTGTTACTGGAAAAACAAAAGCCATACACCTGTTCACAGGCCAGCAGCACAACGCAAAAGCAACGCGAGCTGCTCGTCCTTTCCAATCCACATGCACACACACATATGCTTGATCACTGAGCCTTGTTGCTTCTGAAAGTATTACGCGCCTTTTCTCCCTCTGGCCCTTCAGTTGACTCAGCATAAGTGAGCCGTAAGGGACAAAAAGAGATTAGCAGGTGGTCTTGGCAGTATGACAGCGCTTTTAAATTTGTCCCTGATCACATTGACTTTCCTCCTACCTGTAAAGCAGCCATGCTTTCTCCCTCCTTCATAAAATAAAACAGGTCAGGCCTGGCACCAAGGGTGGGACCAAAGTCCCTAGCTGGGGAATAAGCCAACCATCTTCCCTTGCCTCTGCTCTTTTGTTCTAGCTTTTTCTCCAAAGAAACTTCCTAATATTATTTTCCTCACCTGTGGTACCCAGCACAATTCCTGATATATCAAAGTTATTCTACAAAAAGTGATTCTATGAAAGAATGAATGAGTGAATGCTAGAATCCAAGCTATTTTCTCCATTCCCAAAAGTGCTTCTTCATGATGAATGTCTCCTGCTTGCAAGACAGAGCCACGATTCTTTCCTCACATTCAGATCCCCTTGACATTTTGCCAAGCTAGGGTCATCATCTGGGCATCCTGGACAATCTGGACAGGAAACTCTTTGTGGTAGGGGCTGTCCTATCTACTGTGGGATGTTCAGTAGTGGCTTCACCTGCTATTCACCAGATTCTAGGAGCAGCAACCACCCCCAAGTTTGAAATACCAGAAACATCTCCAGAAGCTGTCAAATATCTCTTCATAGGAAGGGATCTCCCTTATTAGCGAGCACTATTTGATTAAGTAACAAAATTTTATGTCCAAATGAAAATGATAAAATGACTCACAGAAACTTGTGTTGTGGGAAGATACTTATCCATGTTTATGCCAGAATTAGCATATGTATTTACTCATGATTCTTATTTCTGTTTTATCCAAGCATGGCTTCAAAACTTCTCAAATTATACTGTCTTGATTGAGTCCTTGTTGTGTCTTTTATTCGCTTTATGGCCTTCAAATGAGGACTTAACCTATCTGAGATGCAGTAATCTAATTAATATGAAAGAGACAATAATAGTACAATTCTATGTCATAGAATATTTTAAAAACCCAGTAAGCTAATGCAAACAGAGTGGTTCATGGATATTAGTAGCTACATAATAAAAGGAGCAGGAATAAGATAATGTTAATGCTATGGTTGGAATACATCTGGCCAATAGTAGTACTCTATTACAATCCCAGAATTGTATCACAGAATATTACAGAATATTACTCAAAGATGCAATGAACACATTCATCAAGACTCCAATGAGAAAATATGCTGAGTTACCCTAAAGTCTAATTTAGCAGGATTGTGAAGTTAGTAGTCAAACAGTTTGGGCTATAATAGCAAAAAAGTATTTATTCAGATGACGTGAAACTCTTCAGGCTTTTGTGCCATGGAACAAAGCAAAAGGATAATCTGATAATTCCAAGGAAGGAGAAGAAGAGAAATTGTACTATGATTTCATTCTTTTAAAATATCTGAACATACCACAATCAACATATATAAATAGACATTCCGACTATGTCCAGGTGAGTGAATCTACACCATGGAAAGAGAGCGTAATGTGGCCTTTATCACAGGACCTGAAGTCTTTCAAATCCTGCAGTGGCTTCCCACTGAGCTGAGGCTAAACCTAGACTTAAAGGGGTCCTAAAAAACCTGTCTGATTCTTTCTCTGTCTCTCCAAACAGGCCTTAAACTGGACTCAATCACATAGAAGGCCTCCCAGCCATCCTACTCACAGCCCAGTTCTGCTTGGTTGGCTCTTACTCATCCTGGTACTTTCAAGGTAAGCATCACTCTAAAGCAATCTACTGTTTTCCTTCCTAGCTTTCAGCATACTGGGTCTCTGTCGAATGTGTTTTTGGCTCACTTATTAATGTCTGTCTGTAGTATTAATCTGGGTGTTTCCTAAGGGTAGGGACTTTGTCAATCTTTGCATTAATAGCACCTAGCCTAGTGCCTGATAAACAGTGGGTACCTAATAAAACTTTAATATACATCTTGTGCATAAAAATTGAATAAATTGCACATATAGAGACAGGAGGCCATGTTTTAGCAATACTTAGCCTCATTTCTTGGTACAGTAGACTATTTTACATCTTTAAGGATTTTGGTTTTGCCCCAGTCCACATTTTCAAGTGGCTCAGAGACTATGCCCTTAAATTCAGAGTATCAAGGTGTAGCTTATTGCATCTTTCTTCACATTTCCCAATTCCCAGCGCCAATCATCTACCACAGTTACCTCATATATTTTAGTGTTGCTATCATTTTCCCAGCTTCCATGCCAGAAACTGGATTCCAGTTCCATCTGTTCTCTTATCCTAAATTTCAGGATAGGGTCAAGCAACAAGATCTCTCAATTCCCATTTTGCCTCTTGGCCAGGCTGCACCAGGTTAGGATGTAAATGGCTAAAGGTTCTTCTCTGCCCTCCTTTCCCTTATGCTTCCCTGTTAAAACCTTTGATTTCTTTGAAGGAAGGGAGCCTGGGACAATTTGTCCAATACAAGCTGAGGATGGATCGAAGAATGAAGAGACAAGAGAGCAAACATGACCAGAGCAAAGCCCAAAGCTTCCATCTCCCTCCTTTGAAATGAACATTTTCCACAATCATCTCTTCAGGATTATTTAGGTTAACATCAATATTCTTAGTGTAGAATTTTTAAATGAAATACACAAGAGAATGCTTTGTCTGTTTGGATTAAATGGAATGTATCCATTACCTTTTTGAATTTAGTGTTTGCATAAAGCTCAACTTTATTGGTATAAAAGCCTAATACTTGTTTTCTGACCTAAAAAGTTCTGTTCAAATTTTCCTGTTTTCCAAGCCCTGCATACAGTAAGTGCTCAGTTTGTGCTTGCTAAAGTGCCTCAGCACGGGTCACCTAGGATTCATCTTTTACTTCCCTTATGTGCTTTATTCTCTTAAAATTCCCAAGACCTTTTAAAAGCTGTTTGCTTCCACTTTCACCTCCTCTTCAAATTCTTCAAATTCCACCCTCCACTGAGGCTTCTTTAAAAATAAGAGTTTGTTTGAAACAGTTTTTCCCACTGCATAGCCCTAAAACCACCAGGGAGCCGGAAAAATGTCTCCAGCTTTATACATCTCAGATTAGATGGACCAGTTCAGACTGAGCCCTTAACTGATCAAATAAGAGGGCAGCAGCTACAGCGTGATCAATATGTGTTTGCTTAATTCTTTTTCCCCCAGGGCTCCTTGCAAGCATTTCCATAACCAGAACACCATTTAGTAAATTGCATGATGCCTAAAACAATAAATGTACCCTCCAACAGGCCCATCACATTGCACTAAGGAGGGGAAAAAAAAGAACAGGCAAAAGCAAACCAAAGTTGAGATGGAGGCAGGAAACGCCCATGCATGGAAATGAGCTATGTCCTTTATAAATGGGAGAAGAAGCTCCAGTTTATGAAGAAGGGGCGCATTCTAGAAACCTTTATAAAACACCTACCCTCAATGGAATTTTCTGTGTCATGCATTGTTTTTTAGATTCCAAATCTTCTGCTGAAGAAGGTGAGCTTCTCTTTGAAGCACTCCACCCACAGATCATAATGCAGAGTGCAGAGGCCCTTCCTAAAATGTTGATGATGCGCTGTGATTCCAGCAGCAGTCAGTGTTGTAAATCACGCTTTATTTTTAAAAATTATAAATTCCTTCCTTTCCATTCACTTCCAAATACACATCCTTTAATCAGCACAAGGTTGGCAGAAGTTTCCCAGAATGCTTGACAAATGCACAGGCCTAAATGAATTAATTTGTGAAAAATAAAAGCCATTGTGTATGCTCTGGCTGCCAATAACAGGTGACCAGACTACAGCATTCTCCAGAAAGGGGAGAGAGAGAGAGACAGAGAGAGACAGAGACAGAGAGAGACAGAGAAAATGAAGGAAGCAAGCAAGCAAGCAAGCAAGCGAGAAAGGGGCAGAGAGAAATGCAGAGAGAAAGAGAGAAGTCAATAATCTCTAGGGGTTAATTGGTCACAGAAGCCACTGTCCTATTAAAACAGCTCTGCTTCCTTTCTCGATTGTTAGTCTCTTGATAGATTTGAAATTTTATCATTAATTAGCTCTTTAATAATTTTGAGCTCCTGAGGAAGGGATTTTAAACTGTTAGCAAAAAGTATTTTCCTTCAGCTAAAACTGACCTTGCTGTATTGCTCCATGTCACAGTCTACAAATCCTATTTAGGAGGAGGGAGGACCTGCAGTCCGGGGTTACTGAGCAGGGTTACTGAGCAGGATCCCCGTGCTGTCACAGGGCAAGGGATTGCCATGGATCTGCAGTGTCAGCATCCTTAGAAGTCGGGCTTTGGATGACACTTTGACTGAAGGAAGGAGACGACTTCTCTTCAAGGCCTATACGCATCACAGTGAACAGATATGCAGATCTTTCTGAGATGTTTATTCACAGAGGAATGGCTGGGGGACTCAGAAATTATGGAACAGGAGCAAAAGCTCAATAATCACACGCTGAGGCACCAAATCAGAGCATCTGTACCAGTGTCCTCTTTAGAAAATTAAATAAAATGACTTGGCATCCATTCTGGAAGACATTATTCTTAAAATAATGTTTCCCATGTTTGTAGGTAATATTTGGGGCTGCTGACTAAGCATTTTATATATTATCCTCACAAAAGCTCAGTGCAGCAAACATCCTTTGATTTTGCAAATGAAGAAACTGAGATAGAAAAAGGGTGAATGACCTTCTCAAGGTCACGGAGCTGGAGCCCAGGCTTGAATCCAGGGAGTCTGAGATCAGAAGCCAAGTCATCCTCCATCCCCACTACATGCCAGAACTTCAGCTCTTAATGATACGGACACCAAAAAACATAAACACTTCTT